AAGATATAGGTGTCTCAAGTGGCAGCTTAACCTGCTGTACCATCTTAAGTTTTACCCTTTCTCTATAATTAGGCTGTAAGAATGTCCCTCACAAACATTATTACATTGGATTTTTCCTGTAAGTTTTAAGTTCTTTCAACAAATGACTTTTATTCACTTACAATATAATTCCCAATATATTTCTATTATCTTTTTAAAAGATTATTTACTTATTGATTTGGACATAGAGTTATAGACAGAGAGAGGGAGAGACAGAGAGAGAGGTCTTCCATCTGCTGGTTCACTCCCCAAATGCCTGCTGAGCGGAACTGAAGCCAGGAGCCAGGAGCTTCCCCTAGGTCTCCCACATGGGTGCAAGGGTCCAAGAACTTGGGGCATCTTCCACTGTTTTCTGAGGCCATAGCAGAAAGCTGGATTAGAAGAGCAACAGCCAGGACATAAAGCAGCACCTATATGGGATGTTGGCACCGCAGGCAGAGGCTTAGCCTACTACGCCACAGCACCGGCCCCTATTTCTATCATCTTGTTTATTGGTTTCATATAGCATAATTTTTCATCTTTCTTTTTTGCTCCTTTCCTTCCCATAGAAATTTTATTTTGATCTTACGCTTTGAACCATTTTTGTGCTCAGTAATAACATTTTAACCTGAACATTTGCATCAGTAAAGTCTAATATGAATAGCAGAACTATTCTTTCCTAAACAATAAATGCAAATGGGAAAAGTTTAACTTAGTTCACACTTGCTGAATTCCATGGTAATTCTGTCTACAGTTTATTCCCATCTTGTTTTTAACAGATGTCTTTTGTTTCGGTGTCCTTTTAAAGAATCAATTTTTATTTTACATTTTTAGTAGTTTACTCAGTAAGGCTTTCTGAGTAATAAATCTTGATTGTGTTAAAATATTTTAAATGTTGCTTTTATGAGTAATTGGATTTTCTGATTCTGTCCTCACAGGTGTTTTAATCTCCCTTTTACATCCTAACTCATCCACTGTTCTGCTCTGAATTCTCCAAGTTTCATGGGATATATTCCAGTTTACTGATTTTCTCATCAGCTTCTTCTTAAGCTATGTCTGATCTTATTTTTTAATCTCCCATTGAATTCTAAGTTTCAATGAGCATGTTTACATTTCCAGACATTCTAATTGATTTTTTTTTCCCAACTCTGTCTTCCTTTAAGCAATAATCTGTTCCTTCATTTGTGCCTGTATTCCTTTTAAAAATCAGTTTGTGTTTTACCGGCTTTACTGTCTGACTCAGATTATTGTATGAACCTGTGTGTTAACAGAATGCTTACTCATGTATTATGCTACTGACTCTCCTTGGAAGTAAATCCACTAGCGTGATCTCAAACTTTGATTTGGAAGTCAGGTCATTTTTAAGTGTAGGCTATTTTTATCATAGACCATCACATTACAGTTGTGGGAGGGATACTTTAGGGTGACCTGCTGTTCCCTCTGCTGGTACCCCAGAAGTTTTACCAATTATGTTAATTATACCCCCTTTGTTTTTCTTCCCTGCACTGTTTCTTTGTCTCCACACCAGATCTGGGTGTAGGCTTGTGGTTTTACTGGAGGTATTATTTAAGTGAATATTTCATTTTCCTTTTCCTTACTATGAATTTTCCTGTGGTTTCCCTGGCCTGGTCGGGGGGAACCTCCTGGCTCTTGCTCATGGTGGTATAGCCATTTGTGGGCCCTAGCTTTATTCAGGATTCTTGATTCCAAGTCTTAGACTCAGGCTTTCACAAAACAAGGGCTTCTGCCTTTGTGCCCAAACTGAAACCCCCAACTCCCAGGCCCTGGGACCTATGTCCTCATCCACATGTGCTGCTGTCATCACTCACATGGTTGACTCTTGAGCTTTGAGTCGCAACATTTCTGATACTTGTGCATTTCTCTTTCTTCTGAATCTCTCTTCTCTCCCTATCCACATCTGCCCCAGTGTGTGTATCTTTTAAGCTTGTAACATGTTACCCAATATTTCTATAGGAATTGACTTAAAGGTGTTTGTATTAATGTGGGTGACTATGGAAGAAGTATGTCTATATGTCTGATTATTTTGAAAGAGGAGAGAGAGAAAGAACGAGAGTGATAGAGAGAGAGAGAGAGTGCTCCCATCTAATGGTTCATTCCCCAATTGTCTGCAATGGCCAGGACTGGGCCAAGCCAAGATGAGTGCCAAGAACTGAATCCAGGTCTTCCAGGAGGGTGGCAGGAATCCAATTACTCAATCCATCAGCACTACCTCCCAGGACCTGCATTGGCAGGAACCTGGAATCAGCCGCTGGAGGCAGGAATTTGACCTCAGTGCTCTGAGGTAAGATGTGGGCACTAGCTGGCATAACTGCTATGCCAAATACCAGCCCCTCAATTTGGTTGTTTTCAAACAAAAGAATGAATTAACTGTATTGATTAATTAAACCTTGACAGTAATATTTTTCATTTATTTCACACTGTATTGCTCTTCAGTACCAATTTAGCTTTTCTTTAAAAAATACTATATTAGACTATTTAGGCAATTCAGAATCCTACTCATATCCAGTAAGAATTGGGAATTTCTCCTACCTAGAATTTTACCTACAATTATATCAGAATTATTTGTATATAATTTTGAGTATATTCAGAGATTATATCTCATACCTGGTTCAATGGTAAGCAGGCTCACTTCATTTTGAGATAATATTGCAATATCCAAAAGGTTCCTTCCAAAGTAGGTGAATATTAAATGATAATTCTTAACTATCATTTGTAACCTTCTGGCTGTTTTTTCTACCTTCATTCTTTGTATGTCCTTGGCCTTTCTGCAAGTTTTATAGTTTTACATATTTTGTGTCCCAAAATATGGGCTAAAGCATCATTAGTTCTTTGTGACACTTTGGCAACAATACCATGCCAGCAAGACCAAGCTTACTGGTAAACAGGAATTATAGCTTTCACTGTAAAATACTATAATTACACACTGCAGCAATATCTCTGTGGTTTTTATCACTGAGGAAATCAATAGCAGTGTAGACTACAATTCTCTGTTGGACTGGAGCAGATATGGAAGCAGATGAAATGGTTTATTGACTAGTAGGGATTTTTACTATAGCAAATCAAAGCTGCAGAAATAAACAACTCTTTAGCTGAATGAATTTAACCTAAATACCAATCCATTTCAGTCTAACAAGACATACATATATATGTAAACAAACAAAACTCCTCTTCCTCATTCTTCTTCCCTATTTACATGCAGAATTCTGGTCAGCACTACTGGCACACATCCAATCAGTCAGAAAAATGTCTATTCATTCTGTAAGAAAAGATCAAGATGCTAAGGGGTTACTGTCTTGGTCTGAATATTTCATGTCTGTAGTTGACAAATGTCATAATGTAGAATGTGCCATTTTATGTAACTAATAAAAGGTCCAGTGTTCCATATGGTGGCATGGTATTCCTTGTTAAATAGGTTGCTTGAGAATTTTTAAATATGCACAACAGAAGCAGTAGGTGTTAAATCATTGGTGGCTGAAATACGAAGTTGAGAAAAGGAGGACAAAGAAAAGAAGGAGAAGAAAACTCCAAAAGTTGCTTTCAATGACATGAATCAGTCTGTTCTATAGGAAAGAAAGAATACGAAACAATAACAGTGTTAAACTAAAACTTGTCTGTGTTATGCTGTCATTTTAATCCTCAGTCCAACTCAATGCTGGAGGGGACAAACCCCATGTCTCAGGATAAAGGGTGAGCATAACGGCCGTATTCTTTTCATTCTTGCATTTCTGGTACAAACTCTGTAGGGTGCACAGTAGCAGTCCTCAAATCAGAACCAGAAGCTTTATGGAAAGCTCAGCAGCAGCTCCTTGTCAAAGAATGCAATGCGTCCTGATCATAAAAGTAAGCGGTCTCTTGGATTTTTATTCTGTGTGAATAACATAATTATTTATTTGTATTTTAAGCAAGATTTCTTTTTAAGGGTCCTTGTGTGTATAGACTCTGAAAGGTAAACAATTTCACATATGCTGAAAACAAAATATTTCATTCCTAAATGACAAACACAAATACCTTTACACAAACACATTTGGCTGCTTGTATTCTGCAAGCAATTTGCAATGTGTTAGGAGAATGTCAACATTTGGCCACCATTCGTTTAGATCCAAAGATAGCACATTGATTCATTATTATGAATGTATATGATTTCAGAACAATTCTTATATCTTCACTCATGGAAAGACATGGTAAACTCTGTAAACCTAAGGGATCCTCAATAAAGGGAAAAGAATTGATAAGCATCGAAATCAAAGTACCACCTCATTCAGATAATCTAAAGAAGGCAGGCTTGCAAAATGGAGAGTATTTAGCTTACAACACCCATTCCATTCCCGAGCCAGTTTTCTGCACTCATTTGAAAAATTTATGTAACATTGTGTCATTTATGTAACATTATGTGCTTTAAATAAACTAAATTGAACCCGCATTATAACTTCTGACACAAACTGGTCATTTTCAAGGGGACGTGAAGATGTACATCCTAAACATTGACTGTAAACTGACAAATCTGCTTGCACAAATATTTACCATCCTTATGTATATTTCACATTCCGTGGACATTGGTTCTGTATCAGTCATGAATTATGAATAAACAGCTCCCTTTTTGGGAGTCATGTTTTGACTCCGCGAGTTTAGAACACCCTTTTGTGCCCTCTAATAACATTGGGTTATGGTTCCCTGGTCTGGAAAGAATGACGATCTCTCCATGGAAAAGACTAAATCATGCCCTGCTCGTGGGAAAGCAATACTGTGCGTCACTTGCTAACCAGACAGTTATTATTCATTCTGGATCCTGGGAGATTAGCATTTTCCAGTTTTCAGAGAGAGCGAGCTAGGATATTGCTATATTGGAGCATTTTTGGTCATTGTTCAAAGCATTCTTAATTTCTAATATTTTCTCCAAAGATTTTTCACATGGTTCAATCTCAGGCCCTCCAGCCACCTGTAGTTTGCTCAGATCCACTTACTCTGCATGCAGAGCCCATCCGTGCAGTTCTTGGATTGCAAGACCAAGCCGTCGCAGTCCTTGCCTCCATTCTTGGGGGCTGGTGCCGTGCACTCCCTCCTGCGCCAGTGGGTGCACTCTGTGCCGCATGTAGACCACTTGCTCCATGAGGTCCACCTGCCATCCACTGCCATGAAAAAAGCCCACATGAGATCAGGGGTAGAAGCAGCCAAGGGAGGGGGAAGGGAAGCAGAGCTCAAGTACAAAAGAACGAGACCACAACGGAAGGAAAGGTTGCACCTAGAAGTGCTGTGTTCATCTTTATCATGGAAAACTGGAGTAGGTTCTACATTGTCTGGGTCTTGTGAATATTTCTAAGAGGATGTGTGACTGTTTCTTCATGGACCAGGCCATAAGAGTGCTCATGGGACACAGAGAAGCCAAAGTGGTCACCAGGAGTAACACGAGAGTTGGCTAGGGTGCCCCCTCCCCCTTCTTTTAATTAAGAAGCTTATGGATTTTGTGTTGAAAATTAGGGGTATCTCTTTGGGTCTAACCCTCCTTTATGAGTAGTGTCATCTTGACAGTAAAGCTTGTGTGGGAACTGAGAGAACAGGTTGCTACAGCAACATAGATCTAGTTCTCATTTTATTTTAATAATAATATTTAGCTAAGTCCCTAATTTTGTAGTTATCCAGACATTTAAAACTGATTCACTGTCCTTCTAGTTTTGGTAGCCAACTAGTCAGCAAATTCAATGATAATGAACTGAGCTATCTCTATAGATCATGCAAGTTAAGTTAAATCTCAGTTTGAAGAAAATACATGAGCGTTAACTCACTATCATACTTTAAAATGAATCTTTTTTTTTTTTTTTTTGACAGGCAGAGTGGACAGTGAGAGAGAGTCAGAGAGAAAGGTCTTCCTTTTTTGCCATTGGTTCACCCTCCAATGGCTGCCGTGGCCAGCGCATCGCGCTGATCCGAAGCCAGGAGCCAGGTGCTTCCTCCTGGTCTCCCATGCGGGTGCAGGGCCCAAGCACTTGGGCCATCCTCCACTGCACTCCCGGGCCACAGCAGAGAGCTGGCCTGGAAGAGGGGCAAACGGGACAGAATCCAACACCCTGACCGGGACTAGAACCTGGGGTGCCGGCGCTGCAGGCGGAGGATTAGCCTAGTGAGCCGCGGTGCTGGCCTAAAATGAATCCTTTTAAGCTTATCACAGAAACAGGATAAAAATATTGAAAGAAGAGTTTTTAAACATTTAATGTTCTCTGAAATACATAAAAATTATGATTATCTAGGAGTTGATATAAAACATCAAACATCGTACCTGCATATTGGCAAAACAGTCCACATATTTTGGGAAGATAGTGTACATATTTTGGGAAATATATATGATTTAATAGTCAAATTATTCTATATGTATTATATAATAGGCTTAGAAATATGTCCATACAAAAAATGATGAAGGCATTAATACTTCTATCACACAGAGCTGGCTGTACAAGCAACTCTCAGCTATCTGTGGTGAAGACATCTGCTTAGGCCCAGACTGTCACAGTGAACAGAAACACACACACACACACACACACACACCCTCTCGCTCACTTTTAATTGAGTCTGCTCCTAGATAAAATACAGAGCAGTACAAAGCAAAATCTGAAATTCCAAGTCTAGCTAAGTGCCAAAATGTGTTCTATAAATAAAAGCTCTCAAAGAGTTCAGTGTGGGAGACTGTTTTGATACTGGGAAATCAACACTTGAGAAAGTAACATGTCAATTATATTTTTCTCTCCAGTCATCTCTCCAGCCTGTCTCTGAGACAAGTTCTATTAAAAGGATGAACTGGAGCAAAGTTAGGTAAAATAAGGAGAAGGAGTTTGTGTATCTAAACAATTAAACTGACAACAAAATAGCTACTCCAATGAGTGTTCCAAATGTATGGAGCATTTATAGATAAGTTCAGTCTCACTTTGGGATATATTATATAAGTAGACATTTTAATGGATTTTGGTATTGGTAAATATTAGCTTCGATTACCTAGGGATAAGAGCTGGTGACAATATGAAATAGCACAAAAGGATGCTAGACAGCAAAGGGACACAATCTTGCTATAGGTACAACTGAAACTAACACAGATGACCAACATGTACAGATAATAAAGAGATAGCTGCATTGTACTTTCAAAATCCATTATCCCATGTGTCACAAAGCTTTGTCTTCCTTTTAATTCATTCCAAATGTTTTATTTGCTGTTGCCCAGAAACTGACACCACATATCAAAGATTTCAGTCTAAAACATTTTCTAAATTTCAATTCCAATTAAGTTCCCTGGTTTTCTGAGGATCAAGGGTTGTTATTCTTAAAAATGTGTGGCTTTCAATGCTGTTCAAAATCCCTTGAATTATAGAACCTCTAATCTGGGCTCCAGCAGTTCTGCTGAATAATATAGATGGATTATGTTCAAGAGTGTTTAATCTCCTCTTTGATACTATTTTGCATATTTGGATAACAACCTTAAGTACTCTTTTGGAAGAAAACACTTGATTTTTCCAGCAATGTAAACATTGAATGTAGGATGGATTTACATAATATTTATCACACCCTGAGGTCAAGAATTAGCCACTTGTCTCTGTTCTCTAAAACATGTTTCTAGAACAGTGGGACACATTTGGACGGAAAGGATGGGCCGATTTACCTGGACACAATGTGGTACAGGCTATTTTCTGGACACTCTGCCCTTCACAGAAGGCACCACCATTGAGTGGTGCTGGGTTGGTGCAGGTCCTTGTACGTTTCTGATACCCTCGTCCACAGCGGCTGTTACACACCGACCACTCTGTCCAGGTGGACCAACCACCATTCACTGAAAGGAGAAAGACAGTATCAAGTAGATGCACCTCTGTGAAGATACACAAGCCACATACAACATGTGAACAGAAGTCTTCTCCCAAGTGACCATACAAAACATCTAAAATTTCAAGGCTAGAAGAGTCACGCCATTTCATCCAGAATTTTATTGCACTCATATTATTGAAAGATCTAAACACAGACATAAATGAAAATTTATTCACCAAGATTTACTCACAAAAATAAATAGGACTGTAGTCTCTTTTCCTTGGCCAACACTCTTTAAAAAAATTCACCCCCTTCCCTTGTCGAATTCCCCAAATTACTTTTGATAGCTTATCTCGATAAATGTTTACATCCTTATGCCAAGGCTGCAAATGGACAAGTCTGTAGTATGGGAACTGAATAAAAGCATCTAGTTTTCAAAAAACAGATGATTGATTATATCTCTTTGGTACATGTAAACTTAACAACCTTTTAAATATATTTAGTCAGTCCCACAAATGAGTGAAGCAGGTTAAAAAAGAAATTCTTACAGTGTTGGAGTTTTAAGCAAATTGGTTATTTGAATTGGCAATCCAACCAGTTGATGGAACTGTAATGGACACTTATTGTGTGTATAAAGGGTTATTATCTCTTTCTGGTGTTTGAAGGAGCTGTCTGTGTGTGTATATATATATGTATATATACATATATATATATTTATACATGTATAAAATCAAAAAATAAAATACTAGTTAAATGTGTATGTTTTTCTGTAGAGTTCTGATGATTCCAATCCATGAGCTTTAAACTTGCTTTATGAGGCCATGAAAAGGACAAACAGATGGCTGATAGCTAGGAAGGAACTTAACCTGCTCAGCTTTACAAATTCCAAATGCCATGGCATTGTCAGTGTAAATTGCTTACTAACATACTGGCAAGCTGATATTCGGGGTTATGGGCTACAAGCACTGTTCTGCCAAATATTTCTAATGAGGGCTGAATAATCAGAAACTTTCAGAGACAGAAAGGTCTCTTTGAAGATTCTGGGCTTATCCCATCATATAGAGGGAAGACAAGGGCTGAGAGAATCCAGGTTTAAAAACACAGTTAGTGACAGATGTGGTCCCAGAACACAAGATTCCCGACTTTCAGTACAATGCTCTTTTCCTAGTTCAAAATGCTAAAATTACTTGGGTTTTATATTTCCTAAAAGAAAATGCATACATTGCACTATGGATATTGAAAGCATACTGTACGAAGGCAGAGTTTTGTGCATCCATAGAATACATCTATATTTATTGTCCTCATTAGTGATTCATGATTGGTACATTGTTGTGATTGTGCCCCACTGCTTCTTTGCATTTCAAATGCTGTTAGTTAAGACTTTCAGGCAGTTTAGAAAAAGATAAAAAGCAGGAAACATTTTATTATGACTTAAGAAAGGCAATTGCTTATAATTCAACATAGCCATTATCTGGTCTAGGAAATTAAACCCCAGAGTAATCATAGGATCAAGAAAATCTGCATGCATCTGTCCTTAATTAAAATGACAGCTTTAAAGGATCGCTAAATTCAGTCTTTGGAACATCACAGTGATTTCTGTCCTCATAAGTTCTTCTATCATAAGTATACATCTACCTGAATGGTACTATAAGGGAGACAAAATTTTAGCATCTGTACTTTTAGGGCCTTTTCTCTTAGACTTGAGAATTCAGTTGACTTAAGAAAGCAATAGGAGAGAAAGATACAAATATATTTAATGCAAGCTGTCTGTGGCATTGGCACCTTCATGAGGAAATGAAGACCCAAGTGTTGAGTTGCAGTGGACCAATCACATACTAATTTGGCTAGAGTAGTGAATTGTGTACAAGTAAGCAAATTACGTGGTGAGGCTACAAGAGAGTTATTTTAATAAGATCTAGATAAAACTTTCTTGGCCTCGACTTCCTGTTCCTGGATGTTACTTTTCTTCTAGTGCAGGGAACTCGCCTTTCACAGGGGAACGTTATCTCCTGCTTTTAAGCAGCAGAAGGGAAGGTGCAGGGATGTCATATCGGCTGCATGACAAATGCCTTTAACTTAGAAGGAATCAATGTGTCAGAAGGGCGTATTTTGGGGTGCCAGGTGCTCAAGTCCTTTAGTACTGTTGGAAGGAAGTAAGTGCCAAGAGCAGATCACCTCCACCCCTTCCTCACAGTCAGGCAGGCACCAAGGTTCCTGACGATCATTCAACACGGCAGCAGGGGGTAGTGACAAGGCGTGGGTATTTATCATTACAGGAGGTGGCAAAAATCTCAAAATACTTCCTAGGGTTGCTGTGTCTCCTTTGAGACAATAAATCATCAATATGCCAAGGATCTATTGTGTATCTGACATTGTGAGAAATATATCAATATACTCACCTGTCTCTCAGGCTACAGAGGAGCTTAAAGTTTTGCTGGGAAGATGAAACTATTCGTAAAATGACCAGCAAACAATGGAATGCTAAACTGCCCAGGGAGACCAAAGCACGCATGCCACATCAAAACTCAGTGAGAAATTGCTTAGTACTTGAGGTCAAATGATAGGCTTACAGATGAGATGTACTAGAAAGGGAAGAAGCTGAAGAAGTTATCATACCGGACTCTGGCATGTTCTTGGGGTGAGGGCCACTCGACCATGGCTGTCCATATCATCCCTTTGCATGTGTCTCAGGGAGGGAATCAACAGGTTTTAGAAGTTCAAGTTGCTCTGATGTGCTTGGGGAACAGGCCAGCCCCAGTGTTCAAAAATTTTATAGTCACTAGGCTGAGCCCTGCCCACAGAAACAGCAGAAGGCTGATTAACCATCTTTATCCCCAGACTTGAGCATAGGGCTTGCTGCCACAGCTTGTGGGGCTGAGGCGGGGTGGGTGGTGCATGTCTTAGGGACCCATGGACACTTTTCTGGAAGCTGATGACCCAAGCTGAGACTTTCTTTTTTTAAAATTAATTTTACTTATTTAAAAGGCAGAGTTATGGGGCAGGGTGGGGGTGGAGAGATTGATTTTGCATCTGCTGGTTCACTTCCCAATTGGCTGCAACAACCAGGAGCTGGGCTGATCTGAAGCCAGGAGTCAGGAGCTCCCTCTGGGTCACCAATGTGGGTGCGGGGGCCCAAGCATTTGGACCATTTTCCACTGCTTACTCAAGCCATTAGCAGAGAGCCGGATTAGAAATGGAGTAGCCGGGACTCCAACTGGTGTCCACATGAGATGCCAGCCCTGCAGACGGCAGCTTAACCCACTGTGCCACAGGGCCAGCCCCAAGCCAGGGTTTTCTTACCTGGGTAGCAGGAAAGTAGGTAAACTTCACTGTCCATGTGAGAGGCTAGAAAGCATAGCAACGAAGGTTGAAATTACCTATACCTACAAGATATTGCAGCTGAACGTGAACTCAACAGAGAACTGGAAAGCTCACTCACCATAAACTATGACAGTGGCAGTTGTACTTTTTCTCTTGGCAACAATGTTTTTAGCAACACAGGTATAATTCGCAGTATCAGAGAGGCGGGCCTGCTTTATGATGAGGTTATGATCAATAGTAATGTAAAAGTTCCGGTCTTCAACAGGATCAATTATGTCTTCGTTTTTCAACCACTCCACCTAAAGATGCACAAGAAAGTCAGATAAATCCCCAGTATGGGGCCCTTGAAGACTGTTTACCCTAACTTGCGTTTTGTGACATGTATAACATCATTCCATGCTATGAACTTCAGCAAACTGGAAGCAAGTAACTTTGCGAGGTCATGTTAAGTATCACTCACCTGCCAAACATGCTGATTCTGTCTGTACTACATTATTTTCAAATGTCAATGAACCCACTGGGGAATACAGTGTTCAAATTGTTTTCACTTTGCCCTGCAGGCAGGAATGGGGTATATGCACTGCCAAGTTCAGAACCCAATCAAAAATAATGGGCTAAGCATTTCAAACCCAACTCAAACCTTTTGCTATTTGATTTGTTTACTCTTGGCAACTTACCTGCTGCTTTTCAGAAAGGAATATAAGGACTATAAAAAAGCTCAAAAGGCATTTTAGACATCATGCAGCTCTAATAAACCAACATTTGGATGATTTACGTGTAGCCTCACTGCAACACATGGATTAAATTTCCCTGAAAATGCACTGATTGTAAAATGTAGCAAAGCACATTTAAGCCAAAATATTAAAACACACACACACACACACACACACACACTTGTCTCTACAAACCCTCAATACAATTCAAAGAGCTGATGAGTACCACTCAAATCATTCTTTTTGTATATCTTTAGCGCTTTGGTCTTCTGCTCATGGTTTGCTTTTGGGAAACTAGATTCAAGATCTGACTGTTCAAAATCATTGAACTACAGTTTTTCTATGTAAATAGTGTCAATTTAGCAACAGTGATGTTACCCTTGCTGAAAAAAGGAAGAAAATACAACTGTATACACTGTCTTTGTGAAAGGTAAATTATTTCTTATCTTGGCAATTGTGTTTTTCTTGCTATGCATGGATTTTTTTTTCAATAAAGAAAAAACAACATTGGTATTTACCACACTTAAACTTTCCTCCCACATTATGGTAGATGTGGCTACAAGTAACCTTTATTAGTCAGGAGTCAATATTGTTGCCATTTTCAAAAATTTTAAGAAGCTTCCCTAGCACCACAAGAGGTCTAGGAATTAATCGCTAAATCTGCCAGTGGGCTTGACATCACAGGTCTCAATTAGATGGCATGCAGGGACTCTCCAATAACGTGCTTCTAATCCTTAGAAGAGAGGCAATGCAGAAAGGGCAAAACAAAAACACACAGCAGCCCCGAAACGCAGAAACATAGGGGGATGCAGATTTGAACAAGTATCAGTATTGGTGTAAATTCTGAATTAGCTAACCCTTCTTCATATTTACACTAATGTGAGTGAGCAAAGGAATAGAATCCACCTCAAACAGTGGATTTTTTTTTTTGACAGGCAGAGTGGACAGTGAGAGAGAGAGACAGAGAGAAAGGTTTTCCTTTTTGCTGTTGGTTCACCCTCCAATGGCCGCCACGGCTGGCGCCCTGCGGCCGGCGCACCGCGCTGATCTGATGGCAGGAGCCAGGAGCCAGGTGCTTTTCCTGGTCTCCCATGGGGTGCAGGGCCCAAGCACCTGGGCCATCCTCCACTGCACTCCCTGGCCACAGCAGAGGGCTGGCCTGGAAGAGGGGCAACCGGGACAGAATCCGGCGCCCCGACCGGGACTAGAACCCGGTGTGCCGGCGCTGCAAGGCAAAGGATTAGTCTAGTGAGCCGCGGCGCTGGTTCAAACAGTGGATTTTTAAAGTATGCTTTTCGTTTTCACAGATTACACCTTTAATCAGGGCATTCCTTGGATACATCTGATGTGTGTGTGTGTGTGTGTGTGTATGTATACGTATATATATATTTATGCATGGAATTCCAGAAGTTCATGGAAAATGGAATTAAAAGAAAGTATGATTTTTGTTTTCAAAAACAGACTGTACATTAAGTCAGGACCATTCTTAGATATAGTTCATATGATATACATATATATAGATACATGGACTTAAAAGTTCATGGAAAATGAAACTAAAAGGTACTATTTTGGCACCCCAAATTTTGAATTCATGCATAACTTTATCATAATGTCATGAACTTCTTTAAGACTCTGTGTAAGTGTGTATTTCAACCTTTTTGTGGTCACCCAAATAAACTTTTCTTTTAATTCCATTTTGCATGAAGTTTTTGGAATACATACATACTCACACTCACTTCACCTGGATTTTCTCCAATATCACATTCTGTGTGAAATATGATCTTACTGGAAGTGCACAGGAAATGGCAAAATTTATATTACTAGAAACCTCCTAGATGATAACTGAAAGTTGACATTAATGTTGGTTAATTTGGTCATGACCTAGGTTATCGATTCCATTCTAAAGAAAACTTCCAACTTAGAGAAGGCACTGATTGGCTCTTAGAGTTTTTTCTACTGTTTATGCTCAGCATGCCTTTTCCTTAAAAACCGCTGTCAGAGTTTGGGATTCTCATGACCTCTAAATGCCTGGGAGTTCATAACTTGATCTCCAGCTTCCGTGTTAGCCATTGCAAGAGGGTACTTAAAATATGCTTTCTGAGCTGTCTGCACATTAATGTTTATTGCAGCTCAATTCACAATAGCTAAGATCTGGAACCAGCCCAAATGCCCATCAACAGTAGACTGGATAAAGAAATTATGGGACATGTACTCTATAGAATACTATACAGCAGTCAAAAACAATTAAATCCGGTCATTTGCAACAAGATGGAGGAATCTGGAAAGCATTATGCTGAGTGAATTAAGCCAGTCCCAAAGGGACAAATATCATTTGTTCTCCCTGATTGGCAACAACTAACTGAGCACCAAAAGGAAACCTGTTGAAGTGAAACGGACACTATGAGAAACAATGACTTGATCAGCTCTTGTCCTGACTGTTGATGTACAATGTAATACTTTATCCCTTTTAGTATTTTTTTTTGTTCTAGTACTATTGCTTGAACTCTGTAATTAACACACAATTATTCTTAGGTGTTTAAATTTTAACTGAAAAGTGATCCCTGTTAAATATAGGAGTGGGAATAAGAGAGGGAGGAGATGTACAATTTGGGACATGCTCAATCAGACTTGCCCCAAGTGGTAGAGTTAGAATCATGCCAGGGGATTCCAATACAATCCCATCAAGGTGGCATGTACCAATGCCATCTCACTAGCCCAAGTGATCAATTTCAGTTCACAGTTGATCACACTGATAGGTCTAAGAGTTAAAGGGATCACACAAACAAGACTAGTGTCTGCTAATACTAACTGATAGAATCAAAAAGGGAGAGATCGATCCAACATGGGAAGTGAGATACACAGCAGACTCAGAATGACAGATGTCCTAAACAGCACTCTGGCCTCAGAATCAGCCCTTAAGGCATTCAGATATGGCTGAAGAGTCCATGAGAGTATTTTAGGCATGGAAAGCCAAGACACTCTGGAAAAAAAAAAAAAAAAAACTAAATGAAAGATCTCTGTGAGTGAGATCCCAGTAGAAAGAATGGGGCCATCAAAGAAGGAGGTACCTTTCTCTGAAGGGAGGAGAGAACTTCCACTTTGACTATGACCTTGTCTAAATATGATCAGAGTTGGTGAACTCAAGAGACTTCCATAGCCTTGGCAACTCATGACTAGGGAGATTACTGACACCATAAACAAGAGTGTCAAATTGTTAAGTCAACAACAGGAGTCACTGTGTACTTACTTTTCATGTAGGATCTGTCCTTAATGTGTTGTCCAATGTGAAGTAATGCTATAATTAGTACTGAAACAGTATTTTACACTTTGTGTTTCTGTGTGGGTGCATTAATATATACTAAATTGATCTTCTGTATATAAAGATAATTGAAAATGAATCTTGATGTGAATGGAATGGGAGAGGAAGTGGGAGATGGGAGGGGTGCAAGTGGGAGGGAAATTATGGGGAGGGGGAGAAGCCATTGTAATCTATAAACTGTACTTTGGAAATTTATATTTACTAAATAAAAATTTAAAAAATTCTATGATAAAAAAAATATGCTTTCTGGGGCCAGTGCTGTGGCACAGTGGGTTAACAGCCTGGCCTGAAGTGCCAGTATCACATATGGGCAGCAGTTCTAGTCTTGGCTGCTCCTCTGCCGATCCAGCTCTCTGTGGTGGCCTGGGATAGCAGTGGAAGATGGTCCAAGTCCTTGGGCCCCTGCACTCGCATGGGAGACCTGAAAGAAGCTCTTGGCTCCTGGCCTTGGATCGGCTCAGCTCTGGCTATTGTGGCCATCTGGGAAGTGAACCAGTGGATGGAAGACCTCTCTGTCTCTACCTCTCTAACTCTGTCTTTCAAATAAATAAAATGAATTTAAAAAAAGATATTTGAAAACTTAAAAAAATAAATAAAATATGCTTTCTGTCCAGCCCCCTTGTGGACCAGGCTGCAGCAATAGGCCTGGGATATGGCCTGAATTTATATTACTACTTGGCTTCACCTTTGCTCTTCTGCTTGCTCTTTCAACTTTACTAGGCTCTCCTGGGAGCACTTCTTTAAAAATTACTTGCTACAATGGCTTGCTTCTGGAGAACCTGGCCTAAGTCATGATTGTGCAATATTATGCTATCTTCTATGTTAATGAATCAGTTTAACACTGGTGATGTTATCCTAATCATGGATGACTTAAAGGGATCCAAAGGAATATGAGCAACCACTTGTTTATTTCAAGAATTTATTACATGAAAGAAAGAGTTCAATGTGCATGGTTGACAGAAGATTTAAAGAGATACACATGCTTGTTGGTTGATGACCTCTGTTTTTTCATACATAACCCCCCATTTTTCTCAAGTGTCTGCTGCCCATGTTGGAGCAGTGACCATGACCTGAACTTTTAGGATTCCTGAGGAGCTTCAACAGCAGTGTGGAGGACTTAGAGACCTGGAGAGGGCTCAGTCCCCCACCCCTAACCACCTCTTAAATCACAGAAGCTCTGTTTTTTATCTGTTCCACATTGGGTTGACTTGTGTGTTTTTGTTGGAAGAAACAAAGGACTTTAAAGGTAGAAAACAGATGCAGGAAT